TTTTCAGTTAAAGGCAGTTCATCATTGAATTCTGTGATGTCTTCATCCAGCTCAGTTCAGTTTAGTTTAGTTTAAATAGTCTCTCTCTGTGCAAGCAAGTCGACGATATCGCTGGAAATGAAGTGTCCCCAACTAAGCAAGCCAGAGGTGACAGCGGCAAGGAACCAAAACTCCATCGGTGACAGAATGCAGAAAAAACCTTGGGAGAAACCAGGCTCAGTCGGGGGGCCAGTTCTCCTCTGACCAGACGAAACCAGCAGTTCAATTCCAGGCTGCAGCAAAGTCACATTGTGCAGAGGACTCAACTGGCTCCTGTGGTCTTGTCCCAGTGGCCGTCTGAGACAAGGTCTTTACAGGGGATCTGTATCTGGGGCTCATCTAGTTGTTCTGGTCTCCGCTGACTTTCAGGGCTGTAGAGGTCCTCTCTAGGTGCTGATCCACCATCTGGGCTGGATACGGACTGGATCTGGTGGCTACGGTGACCTCGGAATAAGAGAGAAACAGACTAATATTAGCGTAGATGCCATTCTTCTAGCGATGTAGCAAGTACATCGGGTGTTATGGAAAGAAAAAAAATCGGGTGTTACGGGTGTACATCGGGTGTTGAAGTATCAAGACACCAGTGGTACTGTACTCTGGCAGAGGAACAATTCAGACAACAAACAGATTTATTAACATGTCTGTGGGTTTATGAGATATTGGAAGTATCATGCACAAAATGTCTGATATAAAATGCAGAATTTCCAGATGTTTATTGCATAATTAAATTGGCAAAAGAAAATCTTTATTTTGGTGGATGGTCTGAAAAACTGACAATGCATTTAAAAAGCAGAAAATATACATGTCTGTGCAATTAATTTTATCCATCAAGAAAGCATATTTAAATAGGAGCATTCTGTCTGGATTTTCCATGACGAGCAACTCAAAGTGCCAGTTGGGGTAGTTTTTTTTTTTTTTTTTTAACATCACCAGCACCTGCTAAGAAGCAGTTGGTGTTTGTGGTTACTGCTGTGTTTGCTTCACTTCCCGATAACACATGCAACCTCAGTGACACCTTTCAATAAGAGAGAGACACAAACTGAAAAAAACAAGTGATAATGTGTCATTTGCCACTTTCAAATTTAAGGAGTTCACAAAACAAAATAATAAAATTTAAGATTTATTGCCTCAGAAAAAGAGATGGTAAATTTTTAGCAACTTTAACAGCATTTGCAATGTGAAATTTTATTTTATTATTATTTTTGTTTTTGCAAGATGCAATATTCTCTTCAGCCTTTATTGGAGGATAATGTGGCAAGCAGTCTGTAGACATTTGTCTTCCTTCAGTCTTCTTTCTGAAGTTGGCGTATCCAAAATGGAAAATGATGCGTTACCTGCACGCAAAGATAAAAATGGCCACCTTGGTAACTTTCCGCACAATTTTAAAGGCCTTAAATGCACACATATCCATTTTGAGCAAATAAAAATACCAAAATGCATTCTTGGTTTCCATTAAGTATCAGCTGTGTTTTGTTTAGTTGCCTGTGTTTGCCCCTTGTACTGTACGAATCCACCTTTTCCCTATGCCCTGTGGCACTTTGCGTGATTTGCTGGAGTAATTTCCATTAAACTGTAAACAATCAGCCAAAGGTTCACTCTATGAACTCAATAATAAATAAAACTGGACTCAATGAGGTGACATTATTTTTCTGAAAAGAGTTTTTCTTGTTATAGCATGTCATCATGAAACACTAAGTGTTCCATTATTCTCCTGACGTCTCAAAATACAACATGAAGGAAACTGTACAGCTCATTCAGTCAAACTGACAGATACGGATTATTTATAGCGCAGCCTTATGATAGAAAATGATTTGTTTCAGTTGAGTAGAACTTGCCCAAATTGGAAAAGCCTCCCACAATCTAAAACTCAGTAGACTCGTTAGGAAAAAGGTGGATAACCCTCAGATTTTAGTTGTGTTTGTCGGTTCTTGTTAGTATTTTGTGTGGTTTATGTTTCTATTGTATTTCTCCTGCAATCTCCTGTGTTTTTTTCTTTATTAATAAAGAATTATTATGAATTTACCTTGTTATCTTCTTCATGTGTGTTTACTTGAGTGTAAACAGAGTGTAAACAGTCACAGGAGATAAATACTTTAGTAGACGTAGTAACGGTTGTTTTGGCTTATCATAATACATGAAGTCCTGAAAATGGATTGAGTTATAATTAATAATAATAAATATAAAAAAAGTCTTAAATTACAAAACTGAAAAAAAAAAGCTTTTTAAACAATATTTACAATAAGTATGCAGGCCCCCAACAGTGTAGCTTTCATTTTGACATCCAGGTTGTTTGGAAACCTCAGCACAAAATCTGCACCTGTATTTAGTACACTGCATGAGAAAGGTTTGAAGATCTTGCCAAATGGTCCGTCTGTCGCTGCCCCGTTCAAAGACACCAGCTGTGGTCACAGTATAAGACGGGTAATTATAACTCACATCAACACATTAAGTATTCAAGCACAGGTAGTCCTCATCTACAGTATGTTTTCACTGTAATGTTTTAGTATAAAAACAGGCCTATAGGGTCATTTCGTGTCAACTCAACCAGAGGTCCCCAGATCACATTTTTGATTTTGTTAATATTTTTTTCTGGTGAAAGAAATACATAAATGATGAAGAAAACCATTAAAATATTCATCCATTACATTTTATATTTTGGCTTTCATCACTACACATGTTAATCTTTCTTCAGAAAAAAAAAAATTGACAAAATAAAAAATTTGAGCTGGGGACGTTTCTGAAATTTGGCCCTATAGGGGTCTAAGATAAATGTCAGAAAGCAGAACTGGATTTATAGCTTAAGCTTTATTCTTTATTAATCACTTTATTCTTTAAGAAAGCAAACAAGACCATGTTAGCTCTGACATTTAAAGCCAAAGAAGTGTGTGTGTGTGTGTGTGTGTGTGTGTGCATGTGTGTGTCCCTGGTATTTATCACGTTATGGGGACCAAATGACCTCACAAGTATAGTAATGCCAGTAAATTTTGACCTTGTGGGGACATAAATATGGTTTGCACAGTATAAACACCTATGGAGGGTCCCCACAAAAAATGGAAACCAGTGTGTGTGTGTGTGTGTGCGTGTGTGCGCACGCGAGACAGGTGTTTTTCTTCACTGTGGTCATCAAATTTCCCCAGAAATGTAACACAACCTGAAATCACCTAAACCTAAACCTACAACCAATGTGGGTCAGGAAACAAGGAAAATGGCTTGATAAGCACACTAGCAGTGTTAAAATCATAATCTAAAAGGTTTATGTGAAGGTTATGTTATAATAGAAAATAACTTTGGTCAATTTAAAACTAATCAAATTCAAAAGGAAAATTTTAACTTGTGCATCACCTCAAAGTTCTGATCCATGCAGCAGGTAAGAGGTAAAAATGGTCCCGCAATCTTAACGGCTGGTTCACCTCGTTTATTCTCAACTGTGAATTTAGGCAGGCAAATATGCCAGTTTTGTCGAACATGTCCGATGGCAAAGCCTGGTGGAGACTGAACCTCCAGCTAAAATATACATACAGCATATAATATACAGTACAACATACTCAAGGGCTGAACAAGAGAAGGATAACGTTCATACCTCATGATTGCAGCTGCTGCAAACAAATGGGTGCACCAGTCTGATGACCTCTTTATTAGATTCATTAATAACATTCATTATGAAGGAACGTCCTTGATAGAAATGCCTGCTACAATAATCACTGTCCTCGAGAATACTAAAAAGAACGTTCCCGACGTCATCCTTCACCTTATATCTGTTGTCAGGCTTTATTCCACAGCAGACTGTAAGAAATTAAAAGAAAGGAGATAAGATTGATGCTCGTTTGATGTCGCTTTATTTAGGGGTCCAAGCACCGAAGGTGCCGGAACTATTGTATTTGTACTAATTTTCTTATTACTATTAGGGGCCAAGCACTGAAGATGTGATGTGCCTGCTTGCAGCTATATTTATTATTAGTCTTTTTCTGCACTAAAAGTGTCTAGACAGCCAAAACCATAAGTCGTAGAAATGCCAAATTTAGCAGGATGGTACCAAATCTTCCCCATTACTCAGCTGCACACACACACCTATAATAATTACTTTTATGTTTTTGTTCCACAACAGTACAGGTTACAATCCAAATTCTTTTTTCCCTCTGATTCTCTGAGTCGAGCATAAAATTATTCCACCATTTTGAGCTGTTTTATAATCCTACTTTTTTGAACTCCTCCTAGACCATTTATCCAATTAATGCCAAATTTTGTATATATCATCTAGAGACCCTTTTGACAAAAAGTTATCAAAAGAATTTTGATTCATCTAAGGGTTTATAAGATAGTTTAGTAAGTGCATGGAGCCATAGCCACAACATTTATCTTCTAAACGGTTTGACTAATTAAAATTATTTTGATAAATATTTATCATTTGTATCTATAGATGATACATGCACAATTTCGTGAGAATCAGTCAAGTGGTTTTAGAGGAGATCGAAAAATAAGTTTTTGCCTACTCAAAATGATTGACGGACTACAACACTTTGTAATGTTGCCCACTAGAGAGAGCCACAGGATAAGATATCTATATTTTTTCTACCAGTTTCCATCACTGTGAATTACAAATAAATAATTTTTACAGTGGTAAATGTTTACTGAGGTAACTCTAACCCTAATAATAATAAATAAATAAACCTGTGCTTCATATTCTTAGATATATTTTTTTGTCTTCCTTTACTTTTCATCTAAATTACCAACTGATGTCTGTGGTTCACATAGACCAGGGGTGCCCAACCCTGCTCCTGGCGATCGACTGTCCTGCAAAGTTTAGCTCCAACGCTAATCAAAGACACCTGCCTTTAATGTTTAAGTGATCCTGAAGACCCTAATTAGTTGCTTCAGGTGTGTTTGATTAGGGTTGGAGCTGAACTTTGCAGGACAGTCGATCGCCAGGAGCAGGGTTGGGCACCCCTGACATAGACAATACTCACAGAAAGCATCAGATAGCTGACATAGTGTACGCTGATTTTTCGAGGGCTTCAGCGATTTCTCAGGGATCAACAATATCAATGTGAATGAAACATGAATGCTTATACATTGAAATCTGTGTAAATGGTTCAGAATAATTATTTGTACTAAGCAAGATGCAAAACATAATTATAATTTCATATAAATGAATAAACTTAATCAGTTTGCAAAATAATATGTGATCTCTAAAACACTTCAATATCACTAAATGTTACCTTTATTTTAATATATCCAAATAATATGCTATTATAAACATCTGTCAAGCTGCATGACATGACTTTATTTATTGCTGTCCAGTTAAAATGAAAAGTTCCCTCTTTTTATTGCAGTAGCCTACATATTGCTGCCTTCAAGTGTACTAATGCCGACCAGTAAACATGCCAAACTTCAATAGACAATATTATTTGTCTATTGTAATATGGTACATAAAATAACACTTCCATAGAAAGACACTTAAATAGGCCTACTCGTGTCACGTTTGAAAAGAGACATGGCCGTTGTGACCTAACTGTATCCTACACAAGGCGTTTCCCAGCGGGCACCTTGATATCAATTTGACATCAGATATTAGTCACTGATGACGGTGCTGTAGCATCAATTTTAAATTGGATGGCAATTTCTTCCAGTGGTAATTCGGTGAAAATAGGAAGTTAATCCCACACTGAAATTGATTTAATGTATATGTAGGCCAGTGATGCTCAATTGACATCAAATCAAAATCATGCCAAGTTTTTGACATCAGTTTGATTTGCATATTTGGCCTGTTTTTTTTATGTCAATTTTGATGTCAATTTGATGTCTTTTCAACATCAATTGCCCACTGGGCTGTGCGTGGACCCCGATGATCCGGCTGTATCTCATTCATGAAATCATGAAATGCTGATGAACAAACCTTCGTCAAAACATTCATCCGGATGAGGTTCTTTGTAGACAAACAATTGATCAATCTAAAATAAGCATAAAAATAACAGGAAATAACTGCATTTGTTAGAGAAAAATACATATAATAGGGCTTGATGCCTACTTTCCCCCCCAAGGAGCACATGTGCTCATAAGTGAAAAAATTTAGGAGCATATTAAAAAACTTTTGGGGAACAATGCAATGTATTTTTTTTTACATTTAAAAGCAAAATGATTTAATTTATTAAAATACAAAAAGTACAGTAGTTTAAAATTTTTTTTTTTTTTTACTTAAAACTTTAATTTCAATTTAATTCTTAAATTGTAGTAAACAAAGTATTGTGTCAACAGTAAAATATTGAATAATATGTGTTAAATAATGTTCTTAGTAGGGACGCACCACTACCATTTTTTCCAGAATGAGTCAGATACCGATACTTTCATTTTTGGTAGCCTACTTGTCGATACTGAGTACCGATACCTGTATTTTCATTGCATTTGTAATTTAAAAAAATACAGAAATCAAATATACAGTACACGATACATTGCACAGTTCAAATCTGTGCTGCTCGACAAGAGTTTCATTGATTTGGTGTGAACTGGTTCATAGTTCACTAAAAAGAACCAGTTCAAAAGAATGATTCGACATCTTGGATGGCCTGATGGTGAGTAAATTAACAGCAAATTTTCATTTTTGTGTGAAGTAATGATCCACTGAAAAGCAGATCTGTTGAAAGATGCTAAGTTTATCACTAAACAATGTTTTCGCTGGAGTAGCGACAAATCTTTGCTGAGAAGAATGTGACAAAATATCCCAGCATCAACAAAGAGTGCTAACTTCAGTACTTCAATAATTGCACAATTAATGTCAATATCCAGATAAATGCTCTGAATTCACCATAAAACACGGCGTATTTGCTTTGGTTTAAATAACTCATTTATCATGCAGTAATGTTGGAACCAAAGTTTCACTTTGTAGTAGTTCATGCAATCATTAAATATTGTAGTACAAAGTTGTAGATTTGGCCACAGCTCCATCACTCTCAAAATAGACGTTTTGTAAAGTTCATTACTGATGACAGAAATGTTGGGGTAAAACAAACCTGAACAAACTCAGTCGTCAAATTGCTTAACTCTGTCTGCATTTCTTTCAAATGGTGTCTACGGTAAAGACACACGGTATACACATGGTGCCTTTTCTGTATGCATGCAACAGTCTGCAAACTTGTGGCTTCCACACTGTTGAAAATTTCATCTTTGTCCAGGATGTGTTGCCCAGTGTCTGTAAGGTGAATATTATTTCTTGACCACAGCCAACTTTTGTTAATTTGTCAGTCAGAATTTTGCCTCTGCCGCCTCTATTTTCTCTATTCTACAGGGAAAATTACAGTAAGAACACATTTAGTCACATCAAATACTCTTTTGTACTCATTGGCATACAGTCATTTGTTGTTGTCGTTGTTTTAATTTTAATTTTATTTTATTCCTTTGTTTACAGTTTTTTTTACAATAATTTTTGCATTAATATCATAATCTTCATGTCATTTTTCAAAACTGTAAGCACATAATTCACAACCGATGATCAAAATGCATTTTTCAAAACTCTTAAAGGTGACATATCATGAAAATCTGACTTTTCCAGGTTTTAAGTGCTATAATCAGGTCCCCGGTGCATCTACCAACCAAGGAAATGTTAAAAAGATTAACCCAGTCACTTTGTTTTGGGAAGCCTTTTTCTGCAAGCCTCTGAGAAAACGAGCGCATCTTATTTTGCTCCCTTGGTGACGCTCCCTTGATCCCAAAGGGATCTCATTATAATATTACTGCCCCTTAATCTGTAAGTTTCCACCCACGGCGCCGTCATTTTGATTTCGCAAGTGACAGCGCTGTACCAGCTCTAATGCCATGGCGAAAGTTTGAGCAAAAGAGGCTAACTGTTCTGTCTTTGGCTGGAGACAAGAGAGCAGTGCATTTATTGATTTATTTACTGTATATTGCTCCTGCCACACAGATCGAAAATAAACAAGCGATTTATTTCCCAGCTGTTTACCTTCACAGACATAACCGACTGTTTTTGTAACTCATGTGTGTTTTTTAACATAAACTTGTGTGAATGAGAACTTAGTTTAGTACTTGCATGCTGTGACAGCCGCTTTCTGTGCGTGTGCTTCGGATGTGTGCGCTCAGAAAACCGTATATCAGAAGTTTAAACTAATATGGTTTAAAACGCATGATTTCAGCGCGATAAACGTGATAATCAGAACCAAAACAGATGTTTTTAGCAGGTACACTCTATAAAGGCGCAGCTCTTTTCTGGAAAAGGGGGCGGGGAGTAGCAGCTCATTTGCATTTAAAGACACAGGCCCAAAAAAAACAGTGTGTTTCTGCTTCCACTCAAAATAGGCATTTTCAAAATTATATAATAAATGATCTGTGGAGTATTTTGAGCTGAAACTTCACAGACACATACAGACTTATATTACATATTGTAAAAAGGGGCATAATATGTCACCTTTAACACTTTTTCCAAATGCTTGGATACAGTACAAATAAACCTAATATAATTTGTTCATTGAACTAAAATCACCATTTCAAAATGACACAGCTTAAAGGGATAGTTCACCCAAAAATGAAAATTAGCCTATGATTTACTCACCCTCAAGGCATCCTAGGCGTATCTGACATTCCTCTTTCAGACAAACACGATCGCAGTTATATTTGAAAATGTCCTGGCTCTTCCAAGCTGTATAATGGCAGTGAATGGTGCCCCTGTTTTTGAAGCCTAAAAAACTGCATCCATCCATCATAAAACTACTCCACGCGGCTCCATGGTGTTAATAAAGGCCTTCTGAATCGAAATGATGCGTTAGTGTAAGAAAAATATAGATTTTTAAAAATGTATAAACTGTAATCTCCAGCTTCCGGTCGCTCAAGCAGGCGCGTTTACGACAAGGCAACAAAAGAGGCTTTAAAAACAAGAGCACCATTCACTGCCATTATACAGCTTGGAAGAGCCAGGACAATTTTAAATATATTGAACTATCAGTTGATACAATTGCTCAAAATAATAAGTAATTATTGCATTACTCTTGATGCATAGTTTTAATGGAAATTGTGGAAATCATGAAAGTTAAAATAATTGAGGACTGAGTATGTTCAGGTATGTTCAATTTCAAGGGGCCTGTTGTTGGGAGGAAAATAAAACCCCAAGAGTTCTGTATCATTGTCATCAGTGATTGATTTTCCTGTACAGTAAATGTCTTTTTAGAGGGTGATAGAGCAGGATGCTGATTCATATTTTTGGAAGAGGCAGAGAAATGCATTCTTTATCTCTCTCATTTTGTTACTTGTTTGTTGTCTTGTCTTCTGGGGCTGCATACAGAGATTTGTATTTAAACACCATTTAATTGGTGTTGAATCGGTGTTAAATTTACAAAGTAATGTAAACAGAAATGCATAAATGGGATAAATTTAGATTTCGAAGTGATCAGATTTGGTATATTTACACTAAAAAAATTTATTTATTTCTTCCTCTTCTTCCTTTTCTTCCATAGTTTTGATTTCTAAGTAAACAAATGATGTATAAATGTTTCCACACATGATCATTGGCTGAAGGTAACCAGTAAGTAAGTGTGGCACTTAAAAAGTTCAATTAAAACTCAAGAGCTATTCGTTTTGAATGATGTGTCTAATGTAGAGAACTGTGTTTAGCGTTTTGCAAAAAGTTTGTTTTACAATTGCAAGATGAGTGTAAAGTAGATCATGTGCTTGCAGTTTTGCCGTCCGAAGATCGCGGTATATGAGTGAATGGTTTCACTGAGTGTGCCTCAAATACAACTTTTAGTGTGAGCAATAAAAATAAAAATAAAACTTTAATTGGTGTATTACTTTTTACAAATGTATTTTTGTACACACATGAATGTGTGAGTGATATGACAAACTCCACTGCAGACTGAACGAGCAAAAGACACAAAATAGTGTAGAGAGTAGTAGATTGCAGATGTAGATATGCTTAATGGTCCTGAAAAGTCTTACTGGCTTGAATCCATAATGTAAGTTGTTCTCTGTGTCTCTTTAGAGAGGATGTGGAAAGCGTTGCTGGACTGGGGTCTCCATCTGCGGCAGGACCTCTGTCGCTTCACTAGGCTCTATGAGCATGTCATGCTGCTTGTGCTCATGATGAACACTGCAACACAAGTGGTGATGACATTTGAAAGACTCGCATCAGATAAAGTGTCCCAAGCAGACCAGAAACAAGCAAAGATGCACTCATTCAAACAGTTTTGTGTTTAAAGTACACTCACATTGATTTCAATCAGTGAATTAATGGTTTTAATTTTTTATGAATTGACTGACTGACTGTGAACAGAGAATTGTTTTGCAATGAATGGAAGCCTGTTTATGTCATAAAATAAAACAAAAATAAAAAGGTAATTGCTTGCACATTTTTCTCCTCTAAGAATGTTGAGACATAAACCTATTGCGAGAAAAAAGGTCTGAATTTTGAGATAAAAAGTTGCACCCTGATAGCGCACGTACATCACAGAGACGTCTATTTTACGTCGGCAAAATTATTGCTTTGCTCATCTGCAATACGTCTATAGGATGTTTCCTAACAGATGTCAAATAGACATTTAGAAGATGTCTTTAAGATGTTGATGATTTAGAATGTATGTAAAACTTACATCTTAAAGACGTCTATCAGATGTTTGTACACAGCAGATGCTTTCCAGATGAAGCGATCTTTAACTGACATCTTGCAGACGTTCGTGTGCTTTCTGGGCAATTACCTTTTTATGTAGCATTCATGCCATTAGGTGTCAATTTAAGTCCAAGGCGACAACAGAAACAACATAAAAATGATTGCGTGCATCTTTAATATCTCTGCTGCAGTCATCAACTTTCCACCAGAAGTAATGGTGCCTGCGCACAATATCACAAATGTTGAGTTGTTCTCATCAGTGCTAATATATGGTATTTCCCGTTTCTCATTTGTCTTTCTTAGCTTGGGTTTATGAAGCACTGGAGGCAGTCTTCTTGGCTTTTT